ACAAGTTTGCTTTGATATAAAAATTAATCTCTTATCTGATTTATAGTCGCTACTCCTACTTTTATTCTAAAAATAATTTTATATGCCGTAATGCGAACTCCAAGGAGACTGCAATAAAAAGGATTATAGTGGACCAGGGTAGGCTCCAAATCCCGGCTCCGAATCGTTCTTATCTGCTATACCTGGATTGTCTTGGCAATAGCTCTTAACTTGCATTCAGACAAAGTCTTGCTTTTTACACACACTTTTTTTGTTTTTATAAATGCATAATTAAAAATATCAAAAATTTTTCAATTTTTTTGTGAAATACGGTTTTTACAATCGTTACTTTTCAAATAAGAACAAGATGTAACAATTTGTAGAAAAACATCATTTATTCATAAAATTTCATTAATAGAGTTAACATAATAACAAAAATATAAATATAATGTATAAAGTTGAATGATCTGTTCGATAAACATGTGTGCATGGGGAACCGTGCACGTGCATATCATCTGCTCTGCGCCCGTCGCATCGATATCCAGCAGATCATAAACTAGCGCTGATAAAAGTGTCACATACCTACATTTCATTTCCAAAGTCTATGCAAGCACGCGGCTACTGTACTTTTAAGAAGCCATTTGTTTTTATTGAGGTGCAGTAAGAACAATTTGGACCCGGAATTTGGAGCCTAGCCTGGTCCACTATATAATCATTTTTATTGCAGTCTCCTTAGAGTCCGCATTAGACATATAAAATTATTTTCAGATTAAATTGTGCATTCCAGATTTTGCGAAAAAAAATAAGTGAGTAGTGACTGTAAATCAGATAAAAGAGTGCTATTAATTTTTATATCAAAGTAAACTTGTATGAATAAAACCCGCCGTGGGCTATTTTAATATATTTATTGCCATTTATTATAGGTGATAGTAAGAATCTAGAAATTTAAATGACAAATATTTATTCATCAATAATTTTCACAATAAAAGGCACATTCCTGTAGTAGAAACTAAAGTAGAACTGACAGACAGATAGATTGAACTAGCAATTTTTCTGTTCACTATGAAGAAAAGGCACAAAAAAACCAGACGACATTCTATTTACTACCACAACCATTGATCTTTTTTTATGTAGTATGTAAGTCGAATTTTATGCGCCTTTGTGTGGATTTTGATTATGAAAATACTTATTATTTTACCTACCATTAACTAATCCTTTCTAGGTTTGTAAACATCCTGTATAATTATTTCAAATAAACATTGACAGCATGAGCATAATTGGTAAGAGTCGACCTCTAGGGACAGCAAAATTGACTTGGTTTTAAGGCTCCCCACAAACATGTTTCTTTAGATTAGGTACCGTCTCGTCGGTATAGCAATTATAGAATAGTCGGCAGATGGCTGAGAAGCAGGTTGTGTTCTCGGTCACAATGCTTTCTAGATCACGTAACAAAAATTTTAATTTTTACATAATTTTAAACATGTATAATTAATTTGTAACATTAAAGAAATAATTTTACTTTACCATTGTTAATTATTGTCAGTTATAGACTACAGATTTATACATCTCTAAAAGAAATTAAATTTTCACGCAAATATCTGCTTTACCCGCATTAGAAAGATCACATTTACATTGGACACTTCCTGTTTCACTTCAGTGTCCACGTTTATCCAGAACATGGCGTAACATTGATATTTTGTTATTTTAGAACAACAGTGCTACCGATGACTCTGTTATATGCGGACCATGTTTTGATTCCCTTCATACTCATGGCAGTTTTTTAAAGAGCTGTCTTGAGGCACAGGAAAAATATAAAAGTGCTTACGGGCAGCCTTATATTAAATCTAAGGAATTTGAAATAAAACTGGAAGATGGTCAGGATGTGCAGGAGACATATAAAATCATTAACAAACAGACTTCTCTTAAATCTGAAAAGATTGAAATAAAACTGGAAAAAGATGGTCAAGATGAACAAAAGGAATGCAAGAATGTTTATATTAAATCCGAAGAGATTGAAATAAAAGTAGAGGAAGGCGGTCAGGACGGGTGGTAAGGAATTTTTGTAATTTTAAAATTTATTGCACTGCCCTTTCAAGATTTCTTTTTTATAGAGAGGTATATTTTCCAGTCTTGAGATGATTTAAACAATTTATTACAATCATCGATTTTTCATTAAAAAATCAGTTTTTAAAGAAAATTTTAACCTAACAATACCTACAATTTGAAAACAAAAAAGTACATTCTTTAATTAGATAACGGCAACATAATAACTATTGTATTGTCTGGAATAATTTGTCATTTTTTAAAATTTTTTGGTTATTTTGCCACACTACTCTTAAAAGCAGTAAATAAATTCCTGACACACCTTTGTGGCTTCAAAAATAAAATTTGTTGATTTTTAAACTAACAGTATTTTTGAGTTATGTAAACTAAGCCACCAAACTTTATAAAAAGCAAGCTTTGTATCTTTTATTGATACGATCTTCAACAGATAATATATTTCTCAAAACTCCTACTTGATTTTTAATGTTTATTTCATTACTATTTTTCAGCGATTCCTGTTCATGTAACTTAAATAAAGAAACAGTTGAAATTGAAAAGAGACACCTTTCAAAGGACGTGGGAGAAATAAAGAGTGAATGTAAATGTGAAACGGGATTTAATGAAAGCCTTACGACATCCTTGTCGGTTAACAACATCCAAAAACCCAATACCGAAAAGTTTACATTTCAGAATTGTGACCCTTCATCAGATACACAGTTGTACCAATGTGATAAATGCAAATATAAAACAAAACTTAAGGCGAGCTTGAAGAGGCATCAGATTACACACAAAGACTTTTCAGAAGTGCCAATTTACTTGTGCGATAAGTGCCCGTTCAGGACAAAGTATAAGTTTCTTCTCAAAACCCACCAATTAAATCATGAAAACCCTTCGGGAATCTTAACGTACAAATGCGATATTTGTACTTATGAAACTAAATACACCAGTCATTTGAAAAGGCATCAGTTGTTGCATACAAACTCTTCGGAAATCGAAATGTACAAGTGTAATACATGTGTTTATAAAACTAAATATAAGAATCACCTAAAAGTACATCAATTAACGCACAAAGACGCGTCGGAAATCCAAATGTACACCTGTGATACGTGTAGTTTTGAAACTAAGTATAAAGTTGTTCTAAACAGGCATCGGTTAAAGCACAAAAGTGTTTCAGAAATTCAAATGTACAAGTGTGATACTTGTACGTATGAAACTAAATATAAGAGTCATCTAAAAGTGCATCAGTTATCACACAAGGATTCTTCGGAAATTCAAATGTACAAGTGTGATGTTTGTCGTTTTGGAACTAAGTTTAGAAGCAATCTGAAGTCACACCAATTGAAACACAAAGAATTTTCACATGTCGAAATGAACAACCATCAACTAATTAAGAACCCTGCCGCAATACAAATGTGGGAAAGTGATACACACGGTGATATTGGTGATAAATGCCATCTTGCATGTCATCTGTCAATACATAAACGTTCAAACATCCAAGTATTCAAGTGTAACGAGTGCGTTTTTGAGACCAAACATAAACAGAACTTAAAGATTCACATGTTCAAACACCAGGATCCGTTGACAGTGCAACTGTACAAGTGTGACAAATGTGTATTCCAAACAAAGCACAAACGCAATCTCATTAGACACCAGTCAGTACACAAAAATCTTTTAGGATTGTAAGTTTTCGAGCAATTATGAAGACTAAATTTTAATATATCAGTTAAGCATGAACATAAACAATTTGGAATGATAAATGATGATACAAATTGACAGAAAGATTCAAATATACATAAACAATAAGGAGCCCGATATTATACAAGTACAAGTACTTTCATATGCATTTTGCGTACATTTTTCTTTTTTTTTGTGCGTTTGTATATGCAATAGGCAGTATACAGGGGAAGTCATAATTAGGTATAAAAGATTTAACCAAATTTTCGTTAGATCGAAACAGAAAAAGTTATGGCCCATCAAAGATTTTCTGTTGTTTTTTATTTATTTTTTATTTTATAACTCCGTCATTTTTTAAGATAGTTCAATGAAACTTGGCATTGGGGAGTTTTTGGAATGGCCAAACATGAATATAAGGTTATTTTTTACAACGTTGAAACTTCTTGAACCTTTTGTTTAATATTAAAATATATTTATTTTCTTGGGAATTGGGTTCTGGTGTGATAGTCGGTTTAAAAAAGGATAAAAAACAGCGTTGATTTTTTGACGTTTCGTTCCTGATCAGGAACTTTTTCAAAAGGCTTTTATTGTTAAAATTGTTATAATTAATAAATTAAAAACCTAAAACAAACAAGAACTTAATCAATATTTAGAATTTTTTCCCTGTAATTACAATTAATTTAATAAGAATATAATTTCATTAATACATGCCTAAACAACAACCATTTTACGTTAAAATTTAAAAAACGTGCATCAAAACATGAATTTTTGTTTTGACGGAAATAGTAGCTATATATTATTTAGAAACATACAGCTTCACTCAATAATGATACGTAAGATGTAAAATATTTTCACATTTACACACCTATGATATTTAAAATGAATGAAATGAAGAAGATATTTAATTAACGGACAAATATTTCCAGACAATTCTTTATTTACAACTGCTGTCTATTATGTATTTGTTTTATTTAAATAAATATTATTTTTTAATGCATATTTTATTAAACCCCCATATATTAATTATTATTCATGCAAACTAACAAATAATATTTTTCCGATATACTTGTGTATCCGAGGACCCAGAATAAAATGTTAGGAGTAAAATCAAACACCAATATCCCATATGCTACTCTCGGCAGCTTGTAGATCTCTGCCCAAATATATTTTTTAAATTATAATAGCACAAAAAATTATACACTATTCTGGCAAAAATAAGTTTACGTAAACGTTTCTCAATATAGGTCGGCTCATCAGAACATTTTTGCTTGAGTTTTTATAACTGAAATAAACTGGAAGACATGATATGCAGGCTAATTCATTGAACACAAATGTAACAAGAAACGTAATGGGCAAAAAATTTTTTAATTTTGGAATGGGGCTTGAGGTCGAGTATTGCTTCTAAAACTAAGGTATACGAGAAATTAGTTTATTTGGTGTTCTATATGGTGTTTTATATCAGTTGTAATAATTACCACTAATAAAACGCCTTTATTTTCCAAGATATGAATTCCATTAAAGAGTCATTTATAATGCAGTTTAGTACTTCCCCGCCATTCAAAAGCACATGATCAATTTTGGTTGTACATGTTTATAGAAAATTGCACTCTAAATAAATATTCATAGTGGAATTTTTTGACATCTTAGAAATCTCCCTTAATAAAGTACTTTTATTAATGAAGAATTTTACAAATTCGCTTATAAAATATACCCTGTAGAACATCAAATCATCAGTTTTTGTAACTTTAAGTTTTACAACAAGCAGGACTTCGTCCCCAAATAATAATTTCAAATTAAAAAAGATTTTGCCTGTAAAACCTCTCGCTACTTCTATCCTGGTCCACACCCTAGGCGCACACGCACGATATATCGGTATATAGGGTTCCCGGCTATGAGCAAAGTGGTAGAAAAAATTATCCTAACCCGTCTAAGAACCCACTCCCAAGAACTGCAAGTCATTCCAGACGAGCAGTTCGCCTTCCGACCCAATCACTCCACTGAACTCCAAATCCTTCGCCTTACCGAGCACATCACGGCGGCCTTCAACAGGGGACAGTACACTGGTGCTGTCTTCCTGGACGTCGCAAAGGCCTTCGATACGGTTTGGCATGAAGGCCTACTGATGAAAATGCTCACCAACCAATATCCCATATCCTTTACCAAACTCATAAAATCCTACCTACACCACCGAAAATTCCGCATCCAAATCCAAGATTCCCTTTCCACCACCCGTCCCATGGAGGCCGGTGTCCCCCAGGGCACCGTCCTGTCCCCACAC